GTTCTCGCTGGCTTTAACTCAACTGGGTGCTGCAGGGCTCTTTGACTGTTGGTGAAGAGATTACTGTACATGGTCTGAGCCTTATCTCTGTGGGTAGAGTGGGCAGGGCCAGGCTGAGATTCCCCGCTTGTTCCTGTTGAAAAGAGATACCTTTTTCAACTCATCCACCTGTGACACTCAGTAGGATTTATAGTATGTGGCAGTCCTGGAAAATTAGGCCATTGCTCTTGTTTTCCTTTTCATTAATAGTCCCTAGCATTAGTGGAATTAAGTCCTGAGCTAGTTTAGTTTCCTTTTTCTTTGAGCAGTGTGATTAGTTTTATTTAAACTCTGCCTATATTACCAAATTTCCTGCTAATGTAGATATTTCTTGCAGCCCTAAATATAGATGTAATAACCCCTGGAACTTAGAGACATTTCATACAGATGATGAGTAAAATACATTTGGAGAGGTAGAACTTGGGGAGAAACAGGTAGCAGTGTGGTGGACGTTGTGCAGCGAAGGGACCCCAGCCTGCAGAATAAAACTGAGCTGGTCCATGGCACGCAAGAACTCAAACCAGCAAGTCATTGCTCTTCGTGTACTGGGCCTGTGGCTGCTGTGAGGTGATGTGAGTGAGCTGAGCTCTCCTCCATGGCTGGTAACCTCTCTGCCCCTGAGCTCTGGGCACTGTGAGCCTGTCAAACCCAGCTTTGCTCTGTAGGTGTCTTAAAGAGATGCCTCTGGGATTTCCTGCTTCTTCATGAGCTGATATTCTGTGAACAGGTATTTAATCAAAATTATAGTGCAAACATAGAGTCTTCGAGCTGGTTAGTTTAAATCTCTCTGGGTTGTTTTTGTCACTCATTATTATTTCCTCATATTGACATCAGGAATAAAAAAGGACACTCCCTGAAGGCTTCTCTTAGACTGAAATAATAATTGCCCCGTCCCTGGAAACATTCAAGGCCAGGCTGGACACGTTTCAGAGCAACCTGATCTGGTTGAAGGTGTCCCTGCTCATCGCAGGGGCGTTGGACTAGATGACCTTAAAAGGTGCCTTCCAACCCAAACCATCCGGTGATTCTATCTCCCCAACAATCTCATTTCCTTCAGCTGTTTGGCTCATTTCTACTTCAGTGTAGGCTTTGGGTTGGGTTTTTTGCAGAAGAGAAGTGTACTACACAGAGCACACAGATTTCTGACCCCATGGCCCCAAAATACTTGATGCACTGCTGCTTAACAATGTACCTTCAACCTCTTTCAAACATATTGGATTGTAAATTCTAGCTTAATATATGGCTTTGCTCTGGCTAATATAAATATATTGTATTGTTTTACCCAGTTGGACAGGACCTACACAGGCCTGCAGACACTTGGCGCAGAAACGGTGAGTCAGCGGGTTGCGGGGTAAATGTTGTGCTTTGGATCCCTTAAGGATGTTTAAAAAGACAAAGATACAGAGGACTGAGCACTGTCAGACCCACTTGATTTCACAATTTCTGGAATGTAGATTTTGCTTTCTTGTTAAATGGAACGATTATGACACCTTGTCACTTTTCATGACAGCAGTCATTTTTCCCCCTTTCTAATTCAGGGGAGACTGTTCCCAGCTCTTCTTTCATAAAGAACTTAACTTCTACTACAGTTTTAATTTTTATTTCCTTGTGAATCTTCTGGTACCAAATGTCCTGATTTGCATCCTGATGTGCTGCAGGTCTCATACATAAAGAATTTCAGTTAAAGGCATCACCCAACTGCGTCTGAAATTTTACAGTATATTATGTGCTTTTAAGTTTCTGCCTCTGTCAAGTTTTAGTATCTTCATGGAAAGTGAATGCTTAAACTTAACAAAATAAATGAGTAACTCATAGTTTGGTATATCCCTAAAGGGTTTTTTTCATTATTTTCCTCTTGTACTGTAGTGAATGGAAATTTTTATGGTGGTTACATTATTTCAGCTTTTCAGTCTGTGGAGAAAACATTGATGAGAGATGTCTGCTGTGATTAAAGAACACCTTTAAAGAGTAAATAATGTGGTGTGTTTCTCAAGGCCTTATCAAAAAAGGCAAGCTGCAGTTTTGTGCCTTATCCCTGAGGGGGTATGCACACCTTTCCTTAGTGGGATGTATGGAGCCGGGGTCTGTATTCCTTACAGTGTTCACTATTTGGATTTCCCCATGGACTGAGAGATGTGTGTTTTACCATGGTGGGTAAACACTGCAAGATTTTTGTCTTTGCTTAGGTACTGCTGGACCTCTGGGACATCTCCCTGAAATGAATGGGAGTTTTATGCAGAGGTGAAGGAGGAGAGGGAGAGGTTTCCAGACATTAAAATAAAAATACAGGGTGTGGTGGTTTTCACCACTTTCTGTATCTTTACCTAGCTACCAAATACTAATGTCATCCTTTCACCTGTTTCTGGAAGGTAGTGGATGTGGAGCTGCATAGGCATTCCCTTGGCGAGGAGTATCTCTTCTCCCAGTCCTCGGAGTCTGACCTTTCTGACGCTCCTACGTCTTTACCACTGCCGTTGAGTATCCCAGCACCAGTCAAAGCTTCCTCACCAATTAAACAGTTGCGGGACTCCAGCCCAGATGCTTCCGTGGAGAAAGGTAAAGCAAATGAGTGTCAGTGAAATTTGAGTTCTTGGAAGCTCAGCTCTTCCGGATACCTCCTTTTAATTGCTCTTTTGGCTTAAAGGTTGCCAGTGCCACCTGCTCCTTACTCGCATCAGATGGTTATTTCCTCAATGTACTCTGTACTGCAATTCAGAAGTTGTTGTGGCTTATTTGGTTTTGTTGGGGTTTTGATGGTGGTTTTGTTTTGGTTTTTTAATCTGGAGTTTTTGAGTGGGCTCTGTTTTGCTGCATGTGGTGAATATGGATCTTTATGCAGCGGATGTAGTTGGAAAAAAGGTTGTTGAATAGCACTTGTAGCTATGGTCCTGGCAGACTGCTTTGAGAGGGGTTTTTAGGTTTCTGAATGTTTAATGGCCTGTGTGTAGATTTAAGGAGTTGGTCTAGTCATATGTTCAGTTATATATGTCGGTGCCTAGCACGAGCTGACTGTGGGAGGAACGAAAAATGACCACATAACTGTGATGTAGAAAACAAGGCGAAAAAGATGTAGTGTGCATTTGTCTGAGGGTTGGTATCTGTGCACGTCATGGTCTCGTTCTCACGTTCCCCTCCAAGATCAGGAAATGAAGAACCTGTTGCAATGGGCCAGCAGTTGATGCCTTAGGAACATTTGAATTGTCTGAAACAAGCCAGCGCTGGCCCCTTGGACACACTGTTAGGATTTTTAGTTTGCGTGAAGTAGGTAAAACTGTGCCTCTGTTAGTATTTAGCTTTGTTTTCTGAAATTCAGAGTGTCAAGGCTTACGTGACAAACCTTGGTTAACTGGGCTGAGAAACAAGGGTGTCTTTTATGGTTTGCACATTTTACTGTGAGAAACTTGCTGGGAACAGCAACTTTATATGTCAAAATAGTCACATGCAACATGGTTTGATGCCTTTCTTGATTTACCCTGACACTCCTGTGTTCAAGGAACAGCTGTAATGTTGGTGTCTCGCATGGTGCGCTTTCTGGTGGGTGCTGTAATGCCACTGCAGTGCCCTGGCTCAGCGATAAGAAGGTCTGCTGCTCAAGTGCAGCGTTTTCTTGTGGCCAGAAAAGGAGGAACGCAACCAAATTATAAATGCACAGACTTTTATTCAGACAGGAAGATATGCAGCACCTTTAGGTGAGCAGTGCTACAACCGGCAGGAAGAAAGTAAACCTGCCTCTTTCTTACACTGACAGGCAGTGGCTTCTCTCCTCAGCTCCAGGTTAATTGAACTCCTTCTACATCAGATAAGGTGGATTCCTTAACCTAGGTCAAAGGCAGTAGGTGGTCTCCTTGTGCTCTTACTCCATAACATGCACTGCGAGATTCTCTGAAGGAGATCCAGACTTGGTCCCGTGGAGCCCTAACCAAGGACACTCAACTACCAGCAGCTTTTGGTTAATGGAAGGTCATTCCAAGGAAATGTGAGAGAAGTGGCCGATCAGCTGCCACAGCTGGAGGGGCTGTGCCGGCAGCATTTTAATCTTTTGAGAAACAAACCCAACAGGCTTGCACAGGAGGAACTCCCTATCCCGCTTTCTCCTCATTTGGTGCTGCCCACCAGTTGCTTTTCCTTCCTCCGAGAGTGTGTTTGTCATACCCGAGTTCTGTTTGTGTAGAGACGCACAGTAAGGAATTAGATGTCTCAGCCTAAGAACTATTTCTCTTCTTTTCCCTGTTTTAATCAGGATTCCCTGGGAATGCTGAAACCGAAAGACATGCCACGTTTTATTCCCTGCCATCTTCGATAGAACGGACTCCCACCAAGTTAGCCACACAGAAAGTTGCCTTTGGCTCTCATGGAAATTCAGCCTTTCAACCCATTGCAGCTAGCTGTAAAATAGTGCCTCAAGGTCAGAGTCCAAGCCCTGCAGAGTCGCCAGGAAAATCCTTCCAGCCTATCACCATGAGTTGCAAGATTGTATCAGGTGAATGTTAAAGAGAGTGAACCAGTTGGACTTGTTTTGCATTCTTCCCCTGATTTCCTGCCAGTGTTTGAGCATCTGGCAGTAGGAAACTTTAGAATAAGGAGCTAAACACACTTCTTTAGTTCAAGGAAAAAACCCCACAAGTGTGAAATACTTCACCTCAGATCAAAAGCAGGATGAGAGCTGTTCTCTCCCTGTTCTTGAATGCTTTTAAGTATGAAAATGATAGTCTTTAACTGGACTGCTACCCACCAAAAGACCCAGGCAAGGACACATCATCCTTTGGGGATATTTGTTTGTGGGAAGAAGGCGTTCTTCTCCCTCCCGCTTTCAGACAGCTGGGATGGATTGAGATGAAAACTTTTTTTCTGAACATTGGGCGAATAATCAGGGTCAACCTTGTAGACCCAAACGGTCACTCTTGTACTTGCAATATCTCCTCGGATGGAACAGCTTTGGTCTTCCTATTCCAAAAGTCCATCCTCTGGATTAGATTGTCAGCTGACTGCAGGGAGCAATGAGATACTCTTTTGATAGCTTCCGAACCAAATGTGGCCAGGGTGCTGTTTACTCATTTCACTTACAGCCCCTTCCCTGCCTGGGCATGATGCCATCCGCTGGATGATGTTTTCCATCAGAAAGCTTTAATGTGCAGCTCACCATGTTGCATGTTGTGAAGCTGAAAGGTGACCTGTTAAATTCCTTTGTTTTCTGGTGTTCAGGGCAGGGAGGATGAATCACCAGCTATCAGTACATGTGATTTCTCATGATCTGCTCCCAGATAATTTTCCTCAAGTTTGTCTGGTTGGGGTTTTTTAAATTAAATTTCAGTATTTTTCCTTGACATCTTTAAACTGTGTTCAGGCTGATTTACATTTGAACCTATGCCAAGTGCTTTCTTCTTTCTTAATAAGCTCTTCTCTTGATCTTCTTTTCCCGAGGCTTCCCAGAAAATAAGAATTACAGGGGCCATCCTATCTTTCTTAAAATCCTTGGACTGTTCTCTGTTGATCTTTGCTGTTTAATTGTTTCCATGCTAAATATTTTTCCAAGGTTCTGCTGAGAAGTGTCACCCCTTTCAGATTTCAAAAGCAGTTTAGAAGACGTGGCGATTTTATTTGATCAGCATTTGTGTTCCATTTTAATTGTCAGTCACTGCCAAGAAAGCAGATTAACAGGCATTCAAGGCTTAGTGTGCTTGCTGCCGCCTCTTCTCTCTGATCACTTCCTTGCCTGTCCTTTTCTCTGCATTTCTTGTTTACCCTCTCATGTGGCTTTTTTCTTCTCCAGTTTTGCTCTGTCCTGGTCCTCTTACCCAGAAGTTGCACATTTTAGAGTTTGCTTTCAAGAGCTTCTGCTGTAGTGAGAGCAGTGAAGAGACAAGGGCGTCCATGCCTGTCTGATGGCTGCTGCTGTGCAGCTTTTTCACCTGAACTGCTGGGTTCATGGCTCTGAATGCATATACTGTGGGCTCTGCAAGGGACAGAGAGCGCCTGTCAAGCAGCTCAGCTCTCTTTCTCCATCTGCTTGGGTGGACTGGTCTTGGCAGTGAGAATGATTTAAGGAACATCCCTCAGGATTCAGGGATGGTCCAGATGGCTTCTCAAGGTCCCTTTGAACCCTGCTTGTCCTGATAGGCAGAGAATGTCCAGGGTAGGTATGAGCCACAGTGCTTAACGTGCCTTTTCCTTTCCTTCTGTCTCCCCTTTCCTTCTCCAAGTCCTGTGATCTTGCTCAGGCTGGGAATTGCATCCTCAAAAAATGTTCCTTCTCTAAGCCATTTAAAGAAGTACAACTATTGCTGTATTTTTATTTTCTCACAACATTTACAAGATAGAAGCATTGGACTTTTTTTCTTAAGGTTCTCCAATATCGACCCCTAGTCCATCTCCGCTACCTCGTACCCCAACCTCCACTCCGGTGCACATGAAGCAAGGCTCTGCTAGTTCAGTCATTAATAATCCGTATATTATTGTGGACAAGCCTGGACAGATGGTTGGAGCAGCAGCCACAAGCACAGGTGTGTAGTGTGATCACTGAAGGCAGTGGCTTAGTCTTACCCATTCAAGTTTATTCTCCCTATAAAATGATGAGTATAATAACAGTATTTCAGCTTGCAAAGGTGGAAAGGTGCTCAGCAAAAAAAGAGGGAGGTGTTTGCACAACTGGCTGGTGTAACATGGCTAAGGGGGTCTCAGACATTAACATAAATCACTGGCACATTGCGCAAGGCTGGTTTGAATTCACAGATACCTCTTCAAAGAAAGCCTGTTTATTGCAGGCAGAAAGAGGAGAAAGTAATGTGCACAGAGATTTAAACACTGCCCAAGTGACTGGGTGAGGACTGTGTTGCTGATGGGGGCAAAAAGCATGGAGAGCTTGCAACAGCTTGCAGATCAGTCTTAAGTTTGAGTGTACAGTGCTCTAGATGTGCTCAAGTAGTTGAGTAGACGTGGGTTACCAGGATAACAGCCGTGTTCCTTTCTGTTGCTGCTCTCAACTTCTGGCTGGTCTGATTCCAGCTGGTTTGGATTCCCTCAGTGCTTCAGTGGTGACATCAGCCTGGGGTCAGGAGGGAGGACTGAACTGCAGGATGGGTGATGTGTATGGGAGTCAGTCTTTGTGTTGGGTCTGGAGGAGAGGTCACTCAAGTCATTTATTTGTTGTGACTTGTGGCCAAGAACTGCTGTCTATTTAAAAACATGCTTGCTTGTGTGTGCTTGCCAGCATCTCAGAAGGATGCTTAGAGGCATGTGGTGAACTGCAGCATCCATGTAACACACAAACCATTCACTGGGCATGGCTGGAAAGTGCAAAAATCCTTCTCTTAATAACCATTCCTCCTTTTATCTGAGGGAACACAGCTGTCATGTTCATTTTAACTTCATCACAGAGGCACTTGATAGGGGGAGCATAGTCATAGCTGAATATTTTTATGTATGTTTTGGGGCTTTCTTGGTAACACTGAAGCTGTTTCACCAGTAAGGATTTTTGTGGTTGGTTGGGGGTTTTCTGCCTTTTTTCTTTCCTGTTTCTTCTTTACCTCCAGCCTGATGGTCTACTCTGCATGTGTGGTTTATCGTAGTTTGGGTAACTTCCGTGTTCTCCCAGTAGAGGTTTGGACATGGAGGATAGGATCTGTAGATGCACCAGATGGTTTGGACACAGAAATCTTAATGCCACTAAAGGTGCCGTTTCCCATCACAGTAGTGTGATGGAAGTACAGGCTGGCCTGGAAGAAACTGCGGCTGCCTCTCCCTGCCCTGCACACCTGCCACTTCCCCTGTATCCTGCACGAGTCAGGTCAGATCAGTGGCGGAGCAGAAGACTGATGCCATCCTCTCCCCAGATTGAATTTTGGCAGATAGTCTCATCGCCAGACCGCCCTGTATGAGGGAGCAAGAGAGAACGTGGAACTGGCCTTTTGGCAACGGCAGCCAAAATTGGATTGAGTGCAGTGTGATATTACAGACAGAGTCACATCATATTTAAAAAGAGGGGTGAGGTCTGAAACTTCATGCTCCCTGAAAACCAGCCTTTCCAAACCCCACTACTGCGAGAAATGGCTGCTCATATACTTTTAAATTTAAGTGCAGATTGTGGTAGAACAATATGAGAGACTAATTGTGTTTCGTGTGTGTAATCCATGGATTTGGCATGTCTTAAACCAAACAAACAGCAGTAACAAAACTGCTGCTGAGTGAGTGGTGTTTATGTGCCCTGACAACGCAGGGTAAGCCTACCACTGAACCCCCATCCATCTCGGGGGTTAGCAGAGTGCTGTGACACTCGTCTCCCTGTGATGATTTTGCAAGAGCAGCCTTCAGGCAGAGGAGCCTATGTCTTCATCCCCTGTTTCTTCCTTTTCCCTACCTCACTCTGTCCCTTCTCTTGTTACTTCGACTCTCTCCTTTTCTAGCCTTCCTTTCCCCTCCCACTCCAGCCTCCTCCAGCCTTGCCCCATGCCAGTGTCCGAGGCCAGCATAGGTTCAGGGGGCTTTGGGGCAGGGCAGGATGTTACATCTGCAGCAGCGAGTTCTGACTGGCAGCTCATTTATGCTCTAATTTCACACAGTCACAGCTGTAGCTGCTATCCTCAGTGTCCCAGGCAGGTGCCTGCCCATTTGCTTGGAGCAGACAGAGCTTCCAGTGGAGGGTACATTCTCTGGGGCGTGGAATCTGCAGGTGGAAATTTAGTAGAGGATTTGTTCTGTGCCCATGCCAACTCCCACATGGAGAACACAGAGTCGAAACGAAATGCCGTGTTTCTTGTTAGAAGAGGTTTCGTGTGTTCAGCGGCACCGCTCGCCGTCCCTCGCCTGACATCTGCGTTGTTTCCTGATGCGCAGGGAGCCCGACCAGCAAACTGAGCAGTGGTTGTCAGGCCTCTCACAGAACTGGATCTCCGGTGTCGAAGACCCATGGGAGCAGTTTTGTCACCTCAGTTGTCAAGGTAATGTTCTCCGTAGGTGTGTACTTTCCATTTAAAATCCAGCTTCCTATTAAACAGAGCTTTTTAGTCTTATAAATTCTGCATTTTGGGCAAGTCCTTTGGGTTGTCATTTCATATGAAGGTTTACGGTGTCTAACAGATGGAGCCATATGAGAACGTGTTGGCTGTACAAGATGATAGCGTCGCTCTGTGCAGCTCTAATTAGACTTGCCTACACCTCTGTTAAAGGCACTGCTCTCTCGCTTTCCTACAAGGAGATCCGCGGTGGGTACAGCTCTCAAAGTGTCTTGTCTTTCAAAAAAGCTCCTCTGTAGCTGCCTTTGATCTTCTTCACTTTGTTAGTGACAGTGTGTGATTAAACCAGAGGTGCCTACCTCAAAACCTTCGCTCTGTTCATCATTTTTGTACAGCAGCTGCTCCTAGCAGCCTGAAAATAGATCATCTAGTGGTTTTACAACTGCCTGCATTTAGCAAAGTGTTTGTGTAAACAGTGGAGTAACCAAATGTATAAACAAACAGTGATAAATAGGGTTCATGCTTCTGATCTGCAGAGCCCAGAAGGTAGGAGCTGAACTGTCTCGCATAAAATCTCTCCCACGTCATGTGCTAGGGAAGGATATTTCTGGCAGGCAAGTGGTGTCAATGAGGCTCTTTCTGAAAGCAGCTGGTGGGTGTGCTGCTGAAAACAGGAGTGTTTCCCTGTCTCCAAGTCACAAGGATATTCCTTCTGGATATGGTGTCGGGGGGAGGTTTGCCAGCCAGCCTGCAGGGAGCAAATCACTGCACATTCGGAATGGAAAGGCTTCCTGTGCCTGTTAGGGGAAAAAGTGTTGAAGATGAAGCAATTCATTTGGCGTTATCATTTTAATGTCAGGTGTGCAGCTAGCTGTTCAGCTTTTAAGAGCCTGTCTGCTCAGATGGATTTCACTTAACTGTGTTGAAAACCATTCATTAGTCTTTATTTTTCACTGAGTTGAGACAGTTCTTTCTGAAGGGTTTTCAGTGAGTCAGAGTAGGCACATGTCATTAGAAACCGTTGAATTCTTTATTTCCAGGGAGAAGTTAGAAACAAAGATATTTTTAAAATACATATAAAAATCATAGCTTTGTAATCAGAAACATATTTTCATTTATGTCTTCTGGTTGGTGGAAAAGCCGTAATTTTATGGTTTCTTTAAAGAGGAAGGTTGTCTGATAGTTCAGTATGATGTTACAGATTGTGCTTAACTCACCACCTTTTATCTCTTCACTGTGTGCTAGTTTTCTCTGGGGCTTTTTTAATAACTTAAGGCTGTGTTTCTTCAGCCACTTCAAAACGATGGATATGCAGGCTGCTGTTGAGAGAACGATTATGCCTCTAGCCTTGTCTTCACAACCCCCTGTTTGTTACTAGTTGTGCAGTGATGTGGTGACCCAGAGCAGACAACCAGTCTGGTTGAAAACTAGTCTGTTTTCAGCCATATGTGTTGGTTGGTACCAGGAAGACAGCGGGAGTATTAGGTTAGAGTCTGAGGGCTTGCCTTCATCGTCATGATCCAACGCAAGGATGGGCCAGGTGATTGTGAAACCGTGGCTTTAGAGTTCACATTGATTGTAACAGAGTACAGTTCTTTTACTTAAACTGGAACCATAAGAACTTCCTCAGATGCACTTGGCTTCTTTACAGCTTCAGATCCAGAAATTCCAGGGGCATGATGGTGAGTTCTGCCTGGAAAGGCTGTGTGCATTCAGGTCTTTCTAGTTACAGGAGAGCAAAAAGTCATCTGAGCGAATCTTGCTTGCAGACTTAAACGGAACATTTTTTCCCCTCCATAACTTGTTTCTTCTTAGACTGTCTTCTCTTTCTGAGATTGGGTATAGGATCACAGAAAGGTGGAGCTTGGCAGGGATCTCTGGAGATCATCCAGTCCAACTCACGTGCTCAGAGTGGGGTGAACTAGAGTAGGTTGCTCTGTCTGGTCAGATTTTGAGCCTCTCCGGTGCTGGAGAATCCACAACCTCTCTGGGCAACCTGTTCCAGTGTTTGGTCACCATTAAATTAAAAAAAAAAAAACAAAACAAACCAACAACAAAAAACAAACCAAACTTAGTTAAACAGAATTTGCTGTGTTTCAATTTGTGCCTGTTGATTCTTGTCCTTTCATTGGATACTACTGAATGTTGTCTGGCTTGATCTTTACACCTTCCCATCAGGTATTCATACACATTGATAAAATCCACACTCAGCCTACTTGAATTTTGCAGCTCTGAAATGCTTTGTATAAAAAGGTTTGGGGGAGGGAACATGAGTCTATTTCTTTCACCCATGTATGATATGGTAAGAAACCATTACTGTTGTTGAAGATGTAATTTTCCAAATACATCCTACTTGGTAGGTTGTATTAAGTAAGTTACACTCCTTTTACTTAAATGTTGACTGATTTTGGAAATGGCTGATTTGTCCAGGTGATTTGGGACTGCCCAGGTGGTCCACACTACCCTTCATTAGCAGTCACTTGTTTTGTTTCTTGTATTGGACGTTTCACTGACTTTTTTTTTTCCTTTTTTGTGCCATGTCTCTCTGTTTGCAGCAGGAGGATTCTCTGTTTGCCACCATGCCACCCCTTTGTCCCATCGGGAGTCATTCCAAGGTACAAAGCCCCAAATCAGTCACTGGAGGACTTGGAGCTTTTACAAAGGTATTCCTCTTGGCTTTTGTGCTGGGATAAGGAGCCCAGTAATGCCATTCCATGCTGACTTGTGCTGCGAAGTGTGTAACTCCCAGCACGTGGAAAACTGTTGCTGGAACCAGGACGTCTTGCTGCCAAGGGCTGTCTATCACCTCTTGAAAAACATATCTTGTTTTCTTTTCTTGTCCTGTGGTTTTCCTGTTCCTGCAATATTTCTTTTTATCTCCTCTCTCATCCTTGTTTTTCTGTGAATCACTGTCGTATTGGGGCTGATCTCTTTAAAGCTGTTTTTTAGTGGGGTACAGTAAAAGTAAACTGCAGTACATTTATCAGGAGCTTCTTCAGAAATGCTATAGTGATTTCTGAATGTCAGGTGTTGCCACTTGAGAGTGCATTTCATTAAATGTTACCATCCAGAATTTAAAGTTGTTTCTGGCAACATTAGGTGATCCAAGTAAAAGGTGGAAGAATGCCTGCTACCAGTTACAGTACCTACAGAATTCTAATGCTGGGAAACCTAGCCTTTCTTGAGTTGCTGATCTTAGAGATTAGATTTAGGGCCTGTTGCAGGGAAACATAAAGCATATAGACAAAAGAATAAAGTCAGCTATAGCAATTTACAGTATCTATAGCTACATTATTGGTTGTACTTTTTCAGGATAGGAAAAAAATATTAAGTTTAGAATGTGTTCTGAGCGGGAAGGTGCTTAGAAATTTGAAAACTTAGTGTTCTGGCTCCTTTCTGAGATGCAGGGCCTGAGGAAGTTGGGTCTGGCCAGGTCCATTGTTAGTATGACTAGTAGTGGTAATATTACTAGTGGTTTCTGTGATTTCTATGAGTTCCTCTCAAATCTGGAATGCTCTGTAAAGACAGGCACACCCCTCTCACACTTGTGCATGGGGAGTAGCCCTCATCTTGGACCTGCGTTAGAATCCATCTGATGGTGTGTAAGAACCACATCTGAGTTCACTGCTGCCTGACCTTCCTTGCAGACAGGTTGTTCCAGAAATGATCCCCAGTGATTGAAAGTGTTTGCTTTTCTTCATTATTTATTATTTCTTCCTATTTAAAAGGTGATAATAAAGCAGGAGCCGGGAGAGCTGCCCCAGCAACCCCAACTACCAGCGACAGGGACGACCACGCAGACCTCTGTGCAGCAGTATGTCACTGTAAAAGGGAGCCACATGTTAGCTTTGTCACCGCAGAAGCCGGTCGTGAGCACAGGCGAGGGGACGGTGCAGTCTAAGGTATGAGACACTTGGTCACCTTTGGTGTGGTGTAAGCTGGCTTGTCTGTGGTTTCAGTGCAACACCTCATGCTTCTCCGAAGGGTGTAGGGTTGCTTCTGTCTCAGTCAGAGGCAGCAGCACCGTGGGTAGCTAGTTTCCCCCTGTGCACGGAGTGCGTCGTACCATGCTTACCTGTAGTCCCTGAGAAGGGAGCAGGGTGAGCAGGAGCTGCTGCATTTTGTTCCGTGCAGGGAACGTCTCCCACTTCTGTCTCGCCCATTGCAACAGCGGGGTGGGAGTGGTTTTGATCTGGAGCCTGACAACCCAGAAAGTTGGCTGCCATCATCAGCTGTTGCTCACTCATCCGAGTCTTTCTGTAAGAGGAGGCAAATTCTTTCCTTGGATGGCAGGCCTGCAACAAAAAAGAATGGGACAGGTAGGGAGTGGGGTGGAGGCTGAGCCAGAACTAGCATGAGGTGGAAGCAGTCCTACTTGAGTGGCAACTCAAGTGTTTTATTGTAGGAGTCTGTGCCAGTACAGTGCTGCTGTGACGGCAGTGACGCAGCCTCTGAGAAGGCACGGTAACTGTGCAGTGACGAGATGACAGATGTCTCAGAAATTGCCTCCATTCTCGCCCGTTTCCACTGTGGATAGAGTCAAAGCATGTGCCAAGCACGAGAGATTACATAAGAGAGCTTTTGCTTTTGCATAAGTAAATATATATTTCCATTTGCAACAGCTCGTTGTCCTTTTTACTGCCTTATTTGCCTGTTTGAGCAGGTATACAAACTCATGTTTGCCTGCAGCTACTGTCAACACATAAAATCGAAGCACTTCGTGGATTCTGCTTTGAGGCCGTAGTTTTCCAGGGAGTCTGTTCCCATGGATGTGTTGAAAGTAAACTTCTGGATCTCTGTGCTTTGCCAAGGCAAGCTTTATCTTCATCTGGAGATAAGCCATTGCTTGTATATTAGAAAAAATGGAAGTGCCCTGTAATTTGAATATACTTAACCTTTTGTGGGTGCTCTGAAATCCCAGTTGTGTTTAACAGTTTATCGTTTTACTTGGGACTGGCCTCTTGCCAATTTAATTTTGTTTCCAAATGAATAGCTTTTATACGTGACTGGACATGTATGAAGTGCCCTGAAATGCCTAGAGATGGAGGAAGCGTACCAGCTAGCGTTCACGTGACTGGATGATGTGCTGCTGGCAAGAGCAATATTTGTTTGTTGCAGGTTGTTGGCATTCCAGTCGGTTCTGCTTTACAGTCGACAGTCAAACAAGCGGTGGCTATCAGTGGTGGCCAGATACTCGTGGCAAAATCTAGCTCTTCAGTAGCAAAGGCTGTTGGGTCGAAGCAGGTTGTGACTCAAGGTGTAGCCAAAGCCATCGTGAGTGGAGGTGGAGGGACAATTGTTGCTCAGCCCGTGCAGACTATAACGAAGGCGCAAGTTTCTTCCACGGGTGCCCAGAAGAGTACCTCTCAAGGCTCAGGTAGAGTAACTTTACACCTTGTTTGATGGGTAGACTCCTCTGTAATGATTTCTTCAACTGCAGAATAACTAAGTGTGATTGAAAAACTTCAAAAAGAGTGGAGAGGTCAGTAGAGAAGTTCAGGCTGACTGATATTAATAATGAAGCAAATGTTAACTCATCTGTAAGGGGAAAGAGGGAGCACAAGTACTTTAAAACATGCAGTCTTCTGTGAGTGGGCATCAGGCAGATATGCTGGGGAATGTGCTAGAGACCTGGTAGTGCATGGAGCCTCACATTTTTGCCCAGCATCATGCTTCTTAGGTGGTAGAAGGGCTCCATGTAAATCCTACCAACAGGAGACAAACTGTTGCCTATTGCATCTTCACATTTTCTACAGTGCTTACGGTTATGGGAGTGTGGGCAGAAGCACCCGTACAAGCTGAGCGTGTTAGCTAGGGCTCTGGACTGCTGTGGAAGGGTGTTGTGTGTTCTCTGGACTGGAGTAAGCCCATACACCCCATGGCTGAGCTGGTGTGGCCTGCAGCTGGAAGTGGTGCTGTGTGCAGAGGGACGGTTTTTGTCAGACCTGTTCGAAAAGGTGTCTGTGCATCACTGGTGGTTAGTCTGCGGTTAGGCCAGCTGAGTGTGGATTATCAGAGGCTACCTGCATGTCACTCCTAGTACGTTCATCCTGTGCAGATTTCAATGCATACCACCACCTGCAAGCAGTGGTTTTATTTGTTGTTATTCTTCCTTTCTAGTGATGGCCACACTGCAGTTACCAGCCACCAACCTGGCAAACCTGGCAAACTTGCCACCAGGCACCAAACTGTACCTCACCACCAACAGCAAGAATCCTTCTGGGAAAGGAAAACTGCTTCTGATACCCCAAGGAGCCATACTGCGAGCCACAAATAATGCTAGTTAGTCTTGCAGGGAAATCTAATGAGTTAAATAATGTAATCACTGCATAATTAATACGTTCGGTGTTTTTGCTATAAAGCATCCTGGTACCGTGGAAGTCAGGAATGGGATGGGGTTTCTTTGTTCACAGCAACACAGTGTGTGGTGCTTCAGACTGAGATCTCACAAATGTCTTCTGTTATAGATGAAACTGCTTTTCATGCAGTGCTTTCCATGTCTTTCGCCCTGTGCTGAAAGCAGACAGTGTAATTTTCCTCAAAATTCAGCGAATTCTTTAACTCTTCGTTGTGATCTGTAGGAAGAGACAACTGCATTTTCGTGATGTAGAACTGAGGTGGATTTGAATGCAGCTGTGAAAGCTCTTAATGAGTATTGGAATGGCACCCTGGAGAAACTAGAAGCATAAGAAACTAACTTTGAAAAGGGCAAGATACTGTAACTGGAACGAGGAAAGAAACAATTTAGAATATTGATACAAGATTTGGCCCCAGGCTGTTGAGACCAGTAGATATACTTTGTTGTTAATGGGCTCGTGAATCAAAGTTGCTGTGAAATACATGGAGAATAACATTGCTAGAATAGTTCTGATGGACGGTACATGTTTGTAGTGCACTGTTGCAGTAGGGAAAAACCAGGATTTGGACTGTATAGATGAAGAGTTTTGTTGTAAGCCTTCTCCAGGATGCTGCCTTTGAAGCTGGGGATTGGGATGGGAGGTGGATTGGGTATAAACTTTTTGCTCCCAGTTCTGATACTGGCAGGGAGAAAGAGGTATTATTCAGTTTAATATATAAAGCTGTAAATACCAGAAACATGGCAATAGAGTACCTGTCACTGAAAAAGTAGATACTCTTTGTGAAGGTATTTTTGGGCTGTAGAACTTGTGATAGGAGCCTCATTGCTTGAGATTTAGAGAGGGAGCTGGGGCAGTCCAGCCTTGACAAGGAAATAATCTCACAGGGTTCAAGGAAGACCAAATACTTGTGATTTTTATGACAGATCCATAAGTATTGGTTTTACCCTTGTTTCTTAATGGGAGGCTGCAAAAAAGCCCGTGTCTAGGCTGTTCTTTCTGTAGGCAGAGCAGTATCAGAGTGTCGCTGCAAATTACCACTGCTTGGTATCCATGATCTAATACTTCGTTAACAAAATTGAATTGGAACTGCCAATGAAAGTAAAATTAAGAAGCCAGTGGGATTCAGAGTGTTTTTAGGGCTTTTGCTGCAGATTCATAACTTGTAAAAGACTGATAAAAACACTACATCTTTTGACAGCATCTTCTTTTGATAGAAAAATCAGAACAGCCTGAAATGAGCTTTGCTTGCTCACCAGTCCTTCTTATTTCTCCCATAGCCCCTTTCATTCGTGACGTTTGCTGAGCTGTAAGAGAGCACAGCAGCACATCTGAACAGTGCTGTACTGGGTAATAATATTACTCAGCTGCAAAACATGGCAGCAAGCATCTTGTAAAGTGCTTTCAGTTACTTGTGTATACGGGGATGCTTTATCAGCTGACAGTGTCTGGTTACCAAAGGGTCAAGCCTTTCCTCCTGGTTTCAGGTCTCCAATCTGGTTCTTCTACGAGTAGTGGAGGAGGAACAACAACCCAAAGCACAAGCAGTAATTTGTCACAGCACCTCACCTATACATCCTACATCCTGAAGCAGACACCCCAGGTCAGTGGTGTAAGCGTCTTCATGGAAGCAGATTGACATTTCAGGCTGCAGTGGCAATATGTGGATATCCTGTGGTTCTGTAGTACATGAAACATTCGTGGACCATGGGATCTAGATCCTTTCCTACAACCTCTGCCTCACTGCCCTCTGCCAGGCACCTGCTTAACAACTTGCTGTTGCTGTAGGCACATCTCTGCTCCTTACCTCCCCTTGCAGGGTGGCACCCTCCTGGCTCCTTGTGGGCTGAGAAAGCAGGGCTAAGCAGTGGGGAGGAGAGGCACACTCTCCAAGGGTCTCCAGAAGGAGAGGTGTTGTGATAGAGATGAAGAGTTATCTTACACAGTCGGATGCTTAAGAGTTGGAGGAAAGAAGTACATATAGGAGAATAAAGGAAGAATGGAGTAAGAAAAACCTGTTTGAATGTGCTAACCTCCCTAATTTACTTCTGGATCAGGGCACCTTTCTGGTCGGCCAGCCTTCTCCTCAGAGTTCTGGGAAGCAGCTGACTCCAGCTTCAGTTGTTCAGGGCAGTGTAGGAGTCGGAGCATCTTCCACACAAGGACAAGCACTAAAAGTGATAACTGGACAGAAAACAGCTCTGTTTACACAGGTAATGAGCAAATGATGTGTTTCTCTCTTACCAGTCAGCATTTTGTCAGATACAGCCACACATTCTGAAAGTTTTTCCTTTTGTAGCTGGTTGGTTTGGGTTTTGTACAACTCGATGGTAGCTGTGCTAAGGAAAGCTCATGAAGGCCTACTTTTGTATGCAGGTATTGGACCACAGTTTTCCAGCTTTATTTCTGTTCTCAGAGTGGGTCATGTGTAACTTGGGTTGCTCGTTTGTAAATGTGCTCTGGGATTTCTTAGTGAAATGGAATTGGAGAAGTGAATACAGTCAGGTGCAAAAATGTGCTTAAATGTTTGAACCTTAGAAATGGGTCACCTGCTAAAGCTCTTAAAAATTTTTGGGTTTGGTATCCCTCAGAGGTCCTTTTAAAACTACCAAGTGGTCCCTATGAAATTCAGACTCCCCCGAGAGTACTTGTAATTAATTGATCACCCAGAATTCAAGATTGATAGGCATATTTTTGCAACATCAACAGTTTGATAAAGTTGATGTATGAGGTGGTAACTTTGTTGTAGCTATTATTGCCACAATTTGCCTTTTTCAGAAGTCTTTTGAAAATGTTTTTCAGTAATATAAAAAGCATTTGTCATGTTTGTTTCCTTGTTGTTGTGTTGTGGGTTTTTTAAGCCACTTAAAAAAAAAATCCAAACAAACACACCTTTTTCCTTTTGCTGAACTCTTTTTTTTCTTTCTCCAAAGGCTGCACCCAGTGGACAGACGTCGCTGGTGAAAATATCAGACGGGTCCATCAAATCCGTGCCTGCCTCATCCCAGCTCTCCAAACCTGGCACCACTGTGCTGAGGGTATCAGGAGGTGTTATCACCACAGCTGCTGCTCCTGCCGTGGCCCTTCCTACAAACGGGGTGGCCCAGGTGAGAAACAACTTTGCCATTATTCTGTATTGTAACTTTTGCACTCTGGCCTCTATAATCCCCAGGAAAGGACTCCTACTGCTATTGGTATTCTTTTCAGCCAGCTTTGCTGGTGGGTCTGTTCTTATTTGTGTGCCAGCGCAGTGCACACACCTCTCTCCGTTGGTTTGCTTGCTGTTTGGCACAAAGCAGTATCTGTCAAGAAACAGGGGAGAAGCTAAAACTTGCACTTTCTTGCTCTCAGTGTCATTAAAATTCAATTAGGCAGGAAAGGCTTTATCTGAAATAGCTTCTGCAATCATACAGAGCAGATATTTGGGCTACACAGCCTTTAAGCACCAAATCTGTTCCCAGCGCAGAAATTTGTGGAAGAATATGAAATCCCTGAAGCTCTGTATCCAGCAGGCCAGTGAAAGCCAGCAGTAACTGTCCTGTAGGTCACTCCTCTGAGATCATGGTGCCATCACCAGATTTCAGAGGCTGGCAGTGGCCAGGGTTCGTGGTCCTTTGGTCCTGATTGTGTTCTAAGGATGTCACTTCTCTCCACGCTGGGGAAGTCGTAACAGCGCAGCCTTGGAACGAGGTGCTTCAGCATAGTGTGAGGTTGGAAGTGAAACATTTGCGTCGCTAGAGTCAACGCTGTTGGTTGTGGATGCAGCCATGTATCCTACTGAGGCAGGCTTTCCACCTGGAGTGGATTGGGAGTCCATGGGACGGGGAAGAGACAGCAAAAAGAACAGTGTATAGTTTACTGGGAGGGTTCCCCCAGCCTTGCTGCTTTTGCCTGTGGAGAGGCAAAGATTAAACAAGTGGAGGGTTGGCGCATGCTGCCCTCAGAGGGCCGAACATTGGTGTACACAGCATATATAGGTGAAGATGCTAAAATTTGTGTTAAATGCTACTCGCTGTTTTCACAGCTCTTGGTGAAGCTGCAGGGATAGAAATTTTCTGTCCAGCCTCTTTATCCCAAACTTGCTTCCCATTTCTCTGCTGATACCTCTGGACCTGTGAGCAGCAGGGAAACATGAAACATTTCTGGGTCAAATTTCTCATCTGGAGGCCTAAATACTTGCAGAAGTGAAGGGACCTGGCTCCAGATACTATCAAAATGGTTGTGGTAGCAGTTCCTGTGTGCACAGTTTCAATTTGTCTGCTTGCAAGAGCTTCCATTCTGTGTGTACCATCACTGTGTGTGGGGTTTTGGCTATGTGCTTGAGACCTCCTTGCTTCTTAATGATAGATAAATAGACATTTGGTCTTATTACTTCTAGATACTCCCTCATTGTGCTTATTGTTGAGTCATCTATGACATGAAAAGGAATTTGTTATCCCTCTCTGACTCTTTTATGCAGCAAGTAGATAATGCAGGTTCCAGTTCATCATCTTCTGGTGCTCCTGCAGCAAAGACAGCTGGACAACAACACCAAATCTGTATAAGCCAGAGCCAGTCGACTTCGTCAGTAGTGAATAAGACTGCTACTTCTACTGTTGTAAGTGTTGCTTCTCTGATGACTACACCAACGCCTGTGACTGGAAAAGCTGCAGTATCAGGTATTAAGCTCCCTTCATGCCTTTCCTATAGAAAGTTTGAAATCAGGTGTGAGCTCTTTAGATGTCTTCACTGTAGATGGAAGAATGTAGAGTCACCTGCATTTGTGAATGTGTAAAGGTGAAGTTATGCTTTCCAAAGCATACCTTGTGAGCATAAATTTTGGCTTAGCCAGAGAGATGTGTAAATAATTTGGCATCCTACACATCAGTGAATTGACTGTATCTGTTACAAATAACAGTGCGAGTTGCCCACTGGTGTTGGTGAGGGATTTCAGTTTTCATGGCAGGTTCTCATTGAAGCTGCATTCTGCCTGTTCAGGACCACAGTGCATCACTGAAAGCTGAAACTGTTGAGGTTCCAGCGAAGACTACAGACTGGTTTGGTTTGTGAAAGTGAAACTCCACTGAACTTGGAGAAGCTGCATGAGCAGAATTTGGCGTTGAGGCTTTGCATCTGCTCTGCTTGGCTTGAAAAGGAGAGACATGTTAATTAGGGGGAACTGAAGGCTTTGCAGTCAAAATCCATTAAGTACAGTGAGGTAGACTGGATCTGGGATGTTTCAAGTTAATAAAAAAAGGGGTAATATAGATGGACTGCCTTTATGTAGAGGGGAGTTTTCCTTATTTAGTTTCATTGTTCTCCAGTACCTTTTACATCATGGAAAGCAAATATAGCAGGTTTAATTTGTGTATTATGAGTTAAAGTTAGAAATTTTCATTTTGACTCCTGATTTACCTGCTGGCAGGTTCTGTTCATTTGAAGTGACTTCTTACTAGGTGGAAACAGAGTACAAATACAGAAAAGAGTATGTGACACTGAGCCCATCTGACAGTGTCTTTTTTAAGCAGCTCTTCTTGTTTCCTACATACGGTCTTCCAAACTCCTTTTTTCATCACTCTTTCACAGAGCTTGAAAGTAAGTAACAGTCTGTTAAGACTGCCACAATTCTGCAATAAGCAGTTGAGTATTTTCCTCTTTGCAAACAAAGCAGCAAGGTTTGGGTTGAATTTTCTTTTGTAGGAAATGCACCATTCTAAATAACTTTCAGATTAAGACTGCCGTTTAGGAATGAGAGTGTCATCTAGTTTGCTTGGGGTTTTGTTTGTAACCTGAGTCTAACTTCATCATGAATCCCAAAAGAAGCAGGTATTTTGGTGTTTAAAAAAACACCACAAAACAAACAAACAAATTGCCCCACCCTGTTAAAATTCTGGAGATGCATATTTTTAAAGGCAACTGTTAAAAAGACTCAAAATTTTGCATTGTTTCACAATGAACAGTGTCTCCCACCCATCAGGCTTAATAGAGTGAAAATGTGCTTTCTCACTTGCCTTCCTGTTTGAGTCCCTTGGTGTGCTATCCTGAAACATCGGTGCATCACAGACTTGAGACATCCCCCAAGGCACACTCTAAGTGATGCACCTTGAGAAAGTGTGGTAAATCCTCTGGGAAGAGACTCGCAAAGCCATGAGCATTTAATTGCTTGCTGGAGGCTGGCTCTGTGCCAAAAGAGACCTTTTGTTCACCATTTAACATCCTCAGGAATACTGCTGGGGGTCTGCGTCAGAGCGAGCCAGCCACCGCTGTAGGGCTTGGCCATCCTGGGGCTGTGTGTTTGAGAAGGGTGGAGGTGGAAGAAAAGGTTCTGCCAAGATGTGTAGCAGTCAGATTTTTAATTCTAAGAACATGGGCTTTTATTTAAATTAGTCTTAAACAGACTAAAATGTTTAAAAAATAAATTGATAATACTAGGTTAGCCACCTTGCCTGATGGTGAAAGCCTAACTGACCGGTGCTATGCATCTTCCAAACCAAGACACATCTGCACCAGACCGTACATGTCTAGCACTTGCAAGGCAGTTATGGTTTTTTACACAAGAATAACTTACGAGGGGGATGGAAACTTTGTCTTGAAGCAAATCGTGAGTATAAAATTACTGTTGTGAAACTAAGAAATGTACTGTTGGCAGCATTGTAAAATAGAAGCCTATTAAATTTCCACAGTCTGAATAAAACTTAGCTATAGATTGAATACAGTTATACTGGAAGTAGCCAGATTAGCGGTAGAAAGGATGGATATGGGCCCAAATCATGTTAGAGTGCTGGCTGTGGTGGTTTACGGTGTCATCACCGTGGAGCAGAGAGCTGGTGTGGGCAGGTGATGAGGGCTCCTCACCCATGGCACTGTGGTGTGGCTTGGAGCCATGCTGGTTCCCATTGAAGTCACTGGGTGCTGCCATTGATAACGCTGTTAATAGAATCATAGAATGGTTTGGATTGGAAGGGACCTTAAAGACCATCTAGTTCCAACCCCCCTGCCATGGGCAGGGACACCTTCCACTAGACCAGGTTGCTCCAAGCCACATCCAGCCTGGCCTTGAACACTTCCAGGGATGGGGCATCCACAGCTTCTCTGGGCAACCTGTTCCAGTGCCTCACCACCCTCTCCAGGAAGAGTTTCTTCCTGATATCTAATCTAAACCTCCCTGCTTTCAATTTGTACCTGTTACCCCTTGTCCTGTCACTACAGGCTCTTGTAAAAAGTCCTCTCCCAGCACCCTTGTAGGCCCCCTTCAGGTACTGGAAAGCTGCAATGAGGTCTCCTCGGAGCCTCCTCTTCTCCAGGCTGAACAAGCCCAGTTCTCGCAGCCTTTCATCATAGCAGAGGTGCTCCAGCCCTCTGATCATCTTCGTGGCCTCCTCTGGACTCGCTCCAAGTGGTCAATATCCTTCTGATATTGAGGGCTCCACAGCTGGACGCAGCACTCCAGGTGGGGTCTCACCAGAGCAGAGTAGAGGGGCAGAATCACCTCCCTTGTCCTGCTGGCCACACTGCTCTGGATACAGCCCAGGGTACGGTATCTGAATGAACGGATATCTGAATGTCCTGCTTGTTCGTGTAACCTGGACTAAAATCAGTGATTCCATTCAGTCCCCACTTTGATATGTTTCCTAGCTTGATTAGCCGTCCTTATGGGTGTATTCAGTGCATGTTACAGAAAGACAGGACACTTGGGTCGGGTATGTCCTTCATCAGACTTGCTGTGCAGCCTTGGGCTCGTCAGTTAGCTGAAACACGGTTGGTTGTGTGGTTGTGCTCTGCTGAATGCAGGGGGTGCTGCTACGCTGGGTTGCAGAGGTGTGCGTGGTGCTTGGGTACCTCAGTGAGTAGGGCAGAGCTGCTGGTCGCTGGCTTGCCAGACCCTTGAGCGCAAGGTCTTGATCTGACAAGGGTGTTTTGCTCTGTGCTGAGCCTGCTTCAGATGAAAGGTTTGTGTTATATCAACTTCTGCTTAAGGTTACTTAACGTAATTAGGAAACCTGCCTCACGAATATCGGAGCGCTGTGGCGTGTGTAATACTGTGCGCACCGGTGCAGCACCCCAGTATTTCAGCAATCATTTGTGTCAGTAAAAACTTGTCTGGCAGTTCACTGAACTGTGGCTTGTTAAGAGGGTGGCAGTGCTAGCTTACATGCCATCCTGGCTCAGGCAGAAAGGGAGAGAAGTAGCTGGAGATAAACAAAATGGTGTGTTTTATTTAACATTTTGTCTTCCGTTCTTCTTGCAGGGTTGCTAAAAATCCACTCAAATCAGTCTAGTCCACAGCAGGCTGTTCTGACAGTTCCCAGCCAGCTTAAACAGCTCGGTGTAAACACAGCTTCTGGAGGTGTTCAGACAATACTCATGCCTATGAACAAAGGTAAAGGGCAGAGGAGGATGACAGATGGTGTTTGAAAATCCCCTTTGGCACAGGGTAGCTCTTGGTCACTGTTGGCATACATGGTCTAAAGTTAGAGATAGAAGAAAATGTAGCAGGGAAATTCATCCCTAAACTTTGTGCTGCAAACAGTGTGTTACTTCTGAACATGGTTATTTGTCAAAGTGTATGAAGTTTGATT